TAATAATAATGATAATGATAATAATAGTAATAATAATAATAGCTTTATTGTCCAACAGTTTCCCATTTAGAGGACAATTTATAAGCATAATACAAAAGCAAAAAAAAACAACAAATGCAACACAGGTATAAATTTGTAACATGAGCTATTGGTCCGAATAAGCCTTAGCTGCCTTTAGCAGGTAATTAACATTCGTCGTAAATATATCACAGTAACATCCAATCCTGTTTAAGTTAGAGCAGATTACATATAACGGTGACTTGAGAAGAATGTTTGTCCTAGCTCTAGGAAGCCCGAATATTTTATGATTACGAGATGCAAACGTTGGAGTACGAAACTTTATCTGTTCCAGGATCAAGGGGCAATCAACTAAATTGTTGATCATTTTGTAGAAAAATATTTTTGAGGAACAATACCTACGTTTTTTCAAAGTCAACATGTCTAAGTGACTACATAGTTCCTCATTACTTGTACCTCTCTCTGGATATGTCCCATCAATCCTAAACAGAACAAACTTGATAAACTTCCGTTGTACCGTTGTACTGTTTCAATAGTTGTGCTATAGGATTCATAGTAAGGGCTCCAAATAATACTACAATATTCTTATATATACTTTGGATCTAACATAAGCATAATATAATAGCTCAATAGACTTTACGTTATGAAAATTTCTGCAATTCCTTACTATGAAACCATAAGCCGCCAATGCTTCTGATGCTTTTTTATTTATATGCTGACTAAAAGTTAACTTTTGATCATAGATTATACCTAAATCACGTACATCAGAGCATCTTTCTAGCACAGACACATCAATATATGGTTATTCGCAAACATTAATTTTCCTGGTATAGCTGACTATTTTACACTTCCTCACATTAAGCTCCAACTTGTTTTCTACACACCAAGACAGCACAAAATTTAATTGGTGTTGTAGCTTGATACGATCATCAGGAGTATTTATCTGCGAATAAATTTTTAGGTCGTTAGCAAGGTGTAGGCGTTCACATTCAACTGAGTCACAGAGGTCATTAATAAATATCAAAGACAGTAATGGTCCCAGGTTGGACCCTTGAGGTACTCCAGAAGGTGCCAAATAGGTCTCAGATTGGAAGCCATTATAGCTAACAAATTGTCTACGATCGGATAAGTAAGATTTCATTAACTCCCTAGCATCATCTGTGAAACCAAGTGCACCTAACTTATTTAATAAAGTTTTGTGGTTAATTTTATCGAAAGCCTTCGAAAAGTCGGTATAAATAACGTCAACTTGCTCATTACTATCAATGGCTTCCGAGAGGTACTGCGTTATTATAAATAGATTTGTGGTTGTTGAGCGATTAGCGACAAATCCGTGTTGATGCAATGACAGCTGACGCTGGACGGCAGTGTAAATGCATCTGTACGAGACTATTTCAAAGACTTTCAAGAACATGCATAATATAGAGATTGCCCTGTAATTCTCAATATTTGACTTATCCCCACACTTAAACACTGGACAGACCTTGGGCTTGGAAAAGTGATGCAACTGTTCGGCACCTGTTCTTCGTGCTATCGCCAGTTTCGCCTCGCAAGCCCTCAAGCCAGCAATAAATATCAAATATCACTAATCTACGCTAGGTGATGACTTAATACCCACACTTTTTTCCTTTTTTGAAGCCATAGCTCTCCCCTCTAATTGATTTAATGTCTGATTAAAATTTTCATTACCTAATCAATTAGGTATTTACCATCACCGTAATTATCAAGTTTAATATAGGATAAACAACAATAATAGCATCCATCGGCCTGCACAAGAAAAAAAGGCCATAAACCAACGAAGAACTTGTGCCTTTGCCCACCAACGCAAAATATATTAATGATATATTATGCTCGTGATTTATTAAAATTACTGTAATCAGGCTCGGTTAATGTTTGCAGTGTAATATTAAATATTGTGTATAGATTATCGTGTGGGTAATAATAAGGTTTGAGCCCATTAAATTTCATAAGCAAATCCCAGATCTTGATGCACGATGTAATAAATGAAGGTAATCTCGGATATAGGTATCCTTGTAAAGACATTCGGAACGATCATCTTTTTGCTCTTTTTGCCAGCGTCATCGCGGGATCTTCCTCACGACAACATCCGAGATTGCTTTACTTTTTTCTTCCTGGGGCTGCGACTCACATCAGCACACGTCGTCGTGCAGCAATATGCATTCCTCTACCTTACATACACGATCCTGCCATTAGCTGAACAAAGTGGTTCTGACTGTGACTGTCAGTTTGTATTAAATAACATCAAATGCTCAGACTTGCCAAGTGTGTTTGACACCATGAAAAGTGATAGGTCTATTACCTTTTTTACATCACAGTATCCAATGCAGGTAGCCGAACTAGGACATTAATCTCTTCGATATTAATTTATTAGCATCATCATAAAGGACTCGTTTAGTTCGAATTCATCTGCATACTGGACGTTAATTAACGAAATAAAAACTTTCCGCATTTCTGGAAATATGGTTTGCGATAATGAGTAATCTCAAAAGATTGTGGTCACATTTGCAAATTCTTTTAAGTCCGTATATACTGTTCCTCAGTCCACAAATAACAGCACTTTAGGTGGCAACCAAATGTGTCAGATTGACCTAGTGGCCAGCAAGTCTTATAAAGCTAACTTAATGGTGAAATGCGACGAGCTTAGGGTTGCAAAAATTAGGCCGCTGTTTAAGTCTGGATATAGGTTTGATATGTGTAACTTCAGACCTATCTCACTTCTTAGTCCCTTCTCGAAGGTGTTTGAGAAATATGTCTCTCTGCAACTCATCAATTTCTTTGACAGATTCAAATTATTCAATAGTAATCAGTTTGGATTTAGAAAAGGCATGTCAACCAAAAATGTAGTACTTCGTTTCCTAGATGACTTATATCTCAAGATGGATAAAGGAGAAAAATGTATAGGTATATTTCTTGATTTAAGCAAAGCTTTTGACTATATTGACCATGTTATTCTGCTAGATAAACTAGATAGATATGGAATCAGAGGGAAGCCATTTGACTGGTTCCATAACTATCTGTCCGATAGAAAGCATCATGTCGAGGTACAAAATGCACAGTCCAGCCAACATTTCTACCATACTGGTGTTCCACAGGGTTCCATACTTGGTCATCTCTCATACATAATGTATGTCAATGACTTCCCATCCGATTGCTCGGTAATGTATGCTGATGACACTTCTTTACTTGTTAATGGTAAAAACCTAGAAGCCAATTCAAGCTTGACAGGTGCAGATAAGTGGTTCAGCAATAATGGACTCGTCTCAAATAATCAGAAATCTGTTTTTCTTAGATTTAACATTTCCACCTCACCAATGGATCACACTTTATTAATAAAATCGTTTGGCGAATCAATAAAACAAGTGGATGCGACTAACTTTTTAGGGATATATATATCTCAAAATTGTAGATGGGATACCCATATCGAGAAAAGTAGCCAAAAGATCGCCCCACTCTGTTACTGTCTGTACCATGCACATATCCATTCAGTCCTAATTTATGGAATAGATGCATGGGGAGCATCGTCCCAGCTGCAAAGACTTTTTGTGTTGCAAAAAAAGGCTGTTCGGGAAATAGCTAAAATTGGAAGGCTCACTAGCTGCAAGGATTCATTTAGAACATTAAAGATTTTGACCTTACCATCTGTATATATACTCAATATACTTATCCTTGCTAAAACACAATTGAGCAAGTTCAATTCTGTAAGCACTGGTGCTTACTTTACAAGAAACAGTCAAGTATTGGAGGTGCCGTCGCATAGATTGGCGAGAACGGAGGAGAGCCCTAGATACATGGCTATTAAGTTTTTCAACAGACTCCCTAACAATTTGAAATCACAACCACTGAATACTTTTAAAAGAACAGTTAAACAGTTTTTACTGGAGAAAGCTTTTTACTCTATTGAGGAATTTTTAATGTGTGAATGTCTTGTTTGATTTTGATCATTGTTGTTTGAATGTCAATGGTTTGTCCTTTATTTCGCTTTTTTATGTATACATATACGTTTTATATTTATAAATTGTATCTATACGCTAATTTGATTTATCTGTATTTATATTTGGAATATGACATATGTCGTACGAATATGTGTGCGTCCACACTAACATGATTTGTTATTAGCTTTTGTAGTGTTCTGACTGGCTTATCCTATATCACATCTGTGATCATACAGGACAAATAAATCATTATTATTATTATTATTATGTACAAGAACGTTCAGGCAAGCTTATGTCAATCTTTCACTTGATGAAATCAATGTGCTAAATGATCCTGATAAGGGCTACTCCTGGTCGTTGTACCAACAGGTTGGAAGTCAATTAAATGATATTGTCATTGCAAAATGATATCACGGCACTAAAGGCTGATAGTAATGATTTGAAGTCTGCTGCTCCATCTAATGGTTTTGATTTTGAAGAGATTATTGGAGAGATGAACGAGGGCAATTCCCGTAAGTGGCATATGATTGTATTTGGCTTACCGGATCAAAATCAGAGTGACCAGCCCCAAGCTAGGGCATACAAGGATAAAGTTGATGTAGGGAAAATTTTTAGAGTGGTGGATCCTCATTTCCAGCTACAAACTGCATCAGTAATTAGACTGGGACAATTTGGCGCCGGGAAAAGCAGACCAGCCAAGGTGGTCTTACAAAACGACACTCAAGTCATGAATCTGATTAAAAAGGCAAGTAATTTGAAAAATAGCGCTTACAAGAAGATATCGCTTTCATTTGATCGCACTCGTAGACAGACTGACCACTACAAAAAGTTGCAAGAGGATGTGAATGCAAGAAATGCTGAAGGCACGCAGAAGTTCAGGGTAGATATATTAATGAGAATCCAAAAATTGTGAAGTCTTGAAACTGAAGTGTTCCAGCAGTTTCGCTAGTTCGAACTCGCGCTGTTTGTTGTGTTAGCGTAAGCGCGCACTAGCGATTTATTGTCGTGCGACTTTTAGTCGCTAAAATGAAGCATTAAGGATCCCCCAAACAACGCGATTAATCCGCTGCGATATTCGTGGCGATATAATTCTCGCGAAATTCGCTGCGAACATCTGAGGGACTTTCATATCGAAGCGAAAAGATCGCAGTGGATTGGCAGTAAACGGTGTGAGAGTGTAGCTTGAAAATCAAGTTAAAACATGTACTCTTCAGATGAAGAAGAAGCAATTCTGTATCTTGCTCTGGCGGAGGAAGAAAGGAGTAGGCTTCTACCATGGGACACCGATTTGAAGCTGGGTTGATGCACATTCCAGAAGATAAGCCTCTACCTGGACATGCTCTCATGTTTTGATTGGAGATGAAGGATTTACCCTTAAACACTACCTAATGAGACCGTTTCCATATAGACTGTCGAAAGCAGACGCTAGAAAAGAAAAATACAATACTGGGCTGTGCAGGGCGCGGAGAGTAGTGGAAAATGCTTTTGGGATTCGAAGTCAAAGGTGGAGAATTTTTTATAGGCCCATGGAAACGAAAACAGATACTACAATTCTAATAGTAAAAACTACATGCGTTCTGCATAATTATTTACGCAGTAAGCAATGTGACGAACAGTATATCGTCGGCAGTCTGACAAGACCTCCTAAGTGCAAATAGGATGATTTTACAGGAGAATGAAAAAACACATCAAGGGTCTGGTATGGTGGCCCTTGTACGTGAAATATCAACTTTATCATAATTCTATTGTTACTGTGAGCAGGATAAACTAATTTTGCTAAAATATCATTGGACTTTGCTTAAAAATCACATAGCAGATATTGTTACGGTGTAACTTATCGACTTAGCAGCAATTGCTATAAAGAAACTTTATTAACTAAAGAAGGACAATATCATAGGTATAATAATAGTTTTAGAAAATAAAGAACATATTTTAGATAGTTAAGTACATACAACTTCATTTCTTGCATTTCTTCGTTCTTTGTTTTCCATCCAAAGCATCGGACTCAGTAATGTTTTCGGCAATTTTATCTTTTTTGTATGGAAGAAGGTCATAAAATGTATGGCAATCTTTGGAAATAACGCTCTTCAAGTATTGTAGATGCTTCCATTTAGTCTGTGTTATTTCCAATCTATCGCTGTAAAGGCTAGGGTAGTTTGAAGTCACAGCGATTTGTTTCGGTCTACTCTGAAGACTTTTGAAGTCCTTGTCGAAATCAAGCTTCACTTTCAGTTCACCGCAGGGAACATAGCATAGCGCTTTGATGTCGGTCACAAGGTTCTCTCTGCCGGGTCTGATTGTCGAATAACGAAGGAGCTCTGTTTTACAATAATCTTTGAAAAAAGTGTGCTCCAGCTGGATCACTTCGTATGGGAATGGTTTTTTCTAGCTTCTAAAGACGCTGTTACATAATCACTGGGTAGCTTGATTATCCTGTTTTTTAACTTTCTTTCTATGCAGCTATGCACTGAGCCGCATTCCATCTGTGTATGGCCTTTCGTGAGATACTTTTGAATAATAGTAACTTTGTCCATGATAGCAAAATTCAGTAAAGCGTTTGACATAATGTTGTTCCTGTTCTGAAATGTGCACCGGTCTGAGTAAATAGTTATTGGCAAATTATGTAGTAAGCAATGCCTGTTTAAATAATCCAACAAACATGAAACGATAGTCGACGCCTGCAGTCCAGAGTCGACCTCGGTAAACCAATAGCACGTGGCTTGGTGACTTACAATATTATATATGGTGAAATTGTGGCAGCTTAGCTTTGTTCTAAAATAAATCTTTGTTGCACTCACCAACGGAGCAACTTTTACAGCTTGCAGATCCATGCAAATTACAATGCACTCGCCTTTCACAGCTTTCTCCTTATCTCGGTTATTTCTTCTCTAGCTTTTTCTTTGTCTTCAATATGTTTACTCCAAATACTACTATCGATGTTACCGTTTTCCTGCTCTTTGAAAATGTCACATCTATCTTTCTTTGGTGAAAACAAACTAAGATTTTTCTCTTTAAATATCTGCTTAAACACCTTTATACCCAGGCAATGCTTGTTTTTCTCATCACAAACCTCTCTATAAAAATTATGCAATTGCTTCAGAGTAACGAAATGTTGCTCTAAATAAAATTTACTGGTATCCTTTCTCACATAGTGAGATGGCTGTTTCGGAAGGTCATCGAAAAATACATTCAGGAAAGCTTTACTGTCCTCGAAAGCGCGTACCCTATTATTCCTATTCTTTCGCTGTTTATTAAATTCTCTCTTAGACTCGTTCATATCGTATACACTCTCTTTTTTCCAACTTTCCACTGTGAATCGTCCTAGCCCTGGAGTATAGAGAAATCTTTTGCGACAGACTTGAACCAATTCTGTACCATTATGTAGTTTGTATGTCATGGTATTTTCTCGTCTACTGCTTCCATTTTCAGTTGTTTTCCTAGATGGAGGCTGGAGGCTGACATGTCCAGAAATAAAAAGCTTTCTTTGATCCCACGTCATTTTTTTCCAAAAACGGGAAAACATTTCTTTTCGTATATCTTCGGTGAAAGTATTACAGAACCTCTTCTTTGATTTTAAACACATTTTTGAAACACATGCCATTCCCAGTTTCCTCGCTGGGCGAGGAGTATTATGTTTGAAGTTTTTGTCCTTGTCACGCGAAAATCCAAGGTAATCCTCCCCTTTCATTCTTAGTAATTTGCTTTTATTCCTTTTCCATTCATTTTTGTCTGCTGTAATTTTTATTTTTCGTCCTTCATTCATGTCACCCCAATTAGTCTCATTATTAAGTTTTTGATGATCATTGACAGTCGACTGTCATTCAGGATGATTTTCAGTTGCGCTATTTTCTTTATCACTTTCGATAGCATTATCATCGAAGCTATCGTCCTCTACTGCATAGACATTATCTGGAACGGAATCACTGTCAAGGTCGCTTTCATTACTACTGCTACTAAAATTGCCATGACTTCCAGCGGTTGGCTGATCTTGATCACGATGGCGAAGATCTAAGTCTTTATCCTCTAAACCACAAACATTTATTCCTAGCTCAGCTGGCGGAAGATTGAACTCATGTGTTCATCATATCTTTCTGGTAAGGTGCTTGGTACTGCTGGTACAACTGTTTGGGAATCAGTTTGTACTGTATTATCAAGTTCTTCGAGAGCTGACTTAGTTTTTTCTTGTTCTCTCACTAGATTTAAGATTTTTTGTGCTCGGGACGCCATTTTTCCTAAAAGAAAAATATAATTTTGTGTTTATTCCGCACAAGCACCATACCTCTGAGTTGCATTTGTTCACCTAGATGACATAAACATCATAAAAATAATATAATTATGCTTATCAACAGGTAAAAAGCACTACTTTTGTGTTTTCCAGTGTATAACAGTTTACAATATCAATAGAAATAGAACATGCTAAGTTCCTCCTTATACAGAAATAATATAATTGCAATGACTGCTATCTGCGCTTTATCACAAAACGTTGATTTTAATTGCTTTGATGAGTTGTTTGTTCAAAAACATATTCATGTATATAAAGTAAAACTTATTCTTACCCTTATTTGAAAACTTCTGGAGTCCTGGCTGGTTATTCGGAGAAAAACTGGACACAATAAGCGGTGCGCGCCAACACGTGGTTAATAACCTACAAATTTACGAATGCAACTGGACGTTAGCAGGTATTGCGTCAGCTAATAGTAGACGGGGAAGATCGCACAGCTATTATTTCGCGGCAATAGCGTAAACAAATGAATTATCTGTAGTTGGCAGATTATTTCATATGATTTATGAAGTCAACTACATAAAAAACTCATTTTCAAAAAAATGTCAGTTAGCAGGTATTGTCAGACTGCCGACATATACACCTTCTAGACGCAGATCCAGATCCATCACAAGCCTTTACCAACATCGAAAATGATCCAAGACGTGCAACGAATCTGGCATTTTCTACACGAGAAAAATTTGTTGACTACTTTTTTTCGAACATTTTTGTAGTCCTCGTTGTTCAAGTCATAGAGAATTGGAAATTGTTTAATTATTTCCAGAAGTTTTTCAGTGTTTGCCATTGCGACAGCGATAAAAATCGTGCAAGCAGCGAATTGAAATTTAGACGCTGCGCTGTGAGCGAAATTGACGCACAGGTCTGTTCTTGTTCATTTGCTTCTACGAGAAGAGTCCTTGGGCGACAATGTCGTCGCGAATTAATCGCAGTCGCTGCGAAATATTCGCGTCGGTTTGGGGGATCCTTTAACATTTTAATGAACATGTACGCATTCTGTGACAAAATAATCGCTGCGACGAAATATTAGAACCAGTCCTATTTTAGCGGCGACACGACTATCGCTGATTTGAATGAAGCAAACCGGCTCATAGGGACGTGCACGCATTGCGATTATTTACCATTACGATTTTCGTTAGGTTGGAATCTACGTGGGAACAGTCCGTCGTTGTCCCTGTTTTCAGTTGTGATTAGTATATAATATCAAAAATCATGTGTGACAGTGAAGAAACCACCCACACCGTTCTTGATACTGAGAGAATTATTATGGAACTGGAAAAAAGACCAGCGCTGTATAATAAAGAACTGAAAGAATACAGCGATAGAAATGCGAAAGAGAAATTATGGACTGAAGCATGCGCAAATGTAATATCAAAATGGCATGAACTATCAGGTGCAGAAAAAAAGACAGAGGTAGGTAGATTATATTTTTATTACTGTAAATAATACAAATTTTAGAAAATGTGAATTAAATTTTGTCATATTGCCAAGCGACTGAACCTTGCGGAGAGGTAAAATAATTTGCAATATAATCTCGTACTTGCATGCCCGATGTGTTAGCTCTTGTTCCAGCAGGTAGAATGGACTCTAAGGGGCATTCGAATGATTCTTCGTGAAATTTTATACCATCGTGTTTTCTTACAAAATTATGTAAAACTCAGCACGCTTTAATTATTTCGACAGAAAACTCTATTCCGACGATGGAAAATTCGCCACTTTTTGCTCATAATTCCAAATGTACATTCTATCATCCTCCGAGCACGGGTTAATCGATAGTTATAAACTCGTTGTTTCGGTGTGAGGTTTCTTCGAGGATATGGTTTGGAAATCTGTTGTGTTAAAGCGAATGCCTCATCTCCCACAATGACAAAAGGCATACACTTTCCGTTTCCATCGTGAGGTAAGGTTTGAGGGTTAGGAATGCTTAATTGGTTAGTTGCTAGGCTTCGGCCAAAATTCGAGTTTTTAAATATATTGGAATCATTGCGTCCACCATAGGATCCCACATCTATTGAAATAAAACAATAATCGGCATCAACCACGGCAAGAAGTACTGTTGAGAAAAAATTCTTATAATTGTAAAATTCTGAGCCTGTTGTCTTTGGTTGCTTCATTCTCATATGTTTACCATCAACCGCTCCAGTACAGTTCGGGAAATTAGTACGGTCATAAAATTCCTTGGAAATAGTTATCCAGTCCTCTTCAGATTTTTCGGACATGTAAAGAGGTTGCATAACTTCCCATAATTGCTGACAGGTATCTTTAATAATTTCTCCAAATGTTGTAACTCCTAACAGGAATTCGAAATGCAAAGAGTTAAAGCTGTTTCCGGTTGCCAGATACCTAAAATAAAACGTATGTAATTAGTTACATTTATTTCTTTTTTTGTTACAGGGACTGAAGTTCAAAAAAATAAAATTATTTTGCTTTCAATTTCAAAAATATTTGCAGGCACAGCCTACTTCAAAAAATTATCGAGATACTGACTTTTTAACGTTTTTTATCATAAATAATTAAACATGCATCGAACCTTAAAGATTGAAATATCTCAAAAACGGCTAACTATAACGAAAATTCACAAGTTGAAAAGTGCGAAGAATCAGTTTTTTGTTCAAAAAGCAAAAAATTGCACTAAGAAAAAATTTTCATTTTAATACACTACAGGTACTGTAGAAAGCGCCCTCTGGCGGCTACAGTAAAACTATGATTCGTTCGTTTTGTCGTACCAAAAAACCCTTGTATACCAATTTTCACTGTTATACATCAAATATTGTTCGGAATATTTAAAACTATTTTAGAAAGTAAATTTAAACACCCTGTGTTTCGGAAGCCACGCATTTTTCGACCCATGTTTATATAGACCATATGCATTAATTTTAAAAGTTCTATCGAATCTTAAAGTTATGCAACAATAAACTGAAACACCCTGTATAGAAATTGTAGGGTTGTTTTACATTATAAGAAGTTTTTCTCTAAATCGACGATTTAACTATATTTCAAATGCGAATTTAGCTCCATAATAAGTCCAAGATGTCAGGGCTGCCTGACTCTTTATCTAGTTTTTTGCAAGAAAGAAAAGCAGAGACATCTAAACGGACGCCTGGAGCTGAAAATAGGCAACACAGATCTAAAACTCAATGATGTATGCAAAAATTTTGGTTAACTCATAGACGAAGACGCATGTTACAGCGTCATCAAAACATGATATTTTAGGTTGAAACTGTTATATACCAAAAAGGCACTTCCTCGGTTTTGAAACAAAAAGGCGATTATGCGAATCATTAATTATTTCCAAAATTCCATATGGAATCATAACGTATTAGCCTTACCTAGATGAAATGTTCGCCTACGCACTACAAAAAAATCAAAATTCAATTTGCCGGTTAACAAGCATTCTTAGGAAATATGATCATTTAACTGGACCAGTCAAAGATTTAGGATGTCTCAAAATTAATAACTTGTTCAAGTATTTATTTTTGTCATTTATAAAATTCATCATAATATATTTATGGAACAAGCTAACATTTAGAACAAGCATGCATTGTTCAAGTTTGAGGTATACGAGCACATTATCCATATCAACACAATGCACAGCCTTGTTTCAGCGGTCTTACTAATATAACGCCCCGAAATATTATAATGCATTAGACCCAAATATTATGAATACAGCAAGTCATCAAATTTAAGTCGTTATTAAAATAATATATTTTCAATACACAGTAACACAAAAATTTTGGTAGCACCTAATCTATGTATAGTGTACTTTATGTACACAGTATCGCTGAGATTTAAGAAGCCTTTAACACTTCATCACGTATACAGTTACAATCATTTTTATAGTTTATAGCAGAGTTCCCCAAACTTTTTTGTGTCGCAGACCCCTTGCCATGTGTGGAAGGATCTGAAAGACTGTTTTGCGAGAGAGCTTGCTGCTGAGAAAAAAACAAATAGTGAGCCTGCAAAAAACGTCGGAAATATATCTACTTCGATGCATTGCTATTTTTACTTCTCCACCAACAACCCAGGGCAACAGCTAGCAATGTAGGGCCTCCAGACGATAGGGAAGAACTGTCAGACCATAAACGATGATGGAGAGCTTTTAAATGATCATGGAGGTCCCAGGAACAATAACGAGGAGACTCCACATTCTGTACCCTCTGCAAAACCTCCACAGAGGACACCACGCAGTCTTTCTAGCAAATCCTCTCATCAAATATCCACATATGAGGCTTCGTTATTAGAGATTTTAGAGAACAAACAAACGGAGGAAGTTTCAGAGGATAAAAACTTTGCTCTTATGTTAATTCCTATGTTGGCCAAACTGAACGACGAGCGAAAACATTTTGTCAAAATTGAAATACTAAACGTGATGAGAAATGCAAAATTATATACATAGCCTGGCCATCAACCCAAACTAACTTCCATCGGTATTTCCACCTAGGCCCACATAATATGCAGCATCAAACCTCTGTACGGTAGCCAGCAGCTTCAGCTCAATTTTCTAATAAAACATCTGTAGGTTTGCCAGCAAGTTCGCCTCACTTTTCCAACCAGTCTGAGAACAACTCTTCCCTCCTCAGCTACTATTCGGAATTTTCGAATAATATTCAATCACCAACAGATTATAATAGCGAAATGTATGACTTGTAATCTTAATGTATTAATAAACATATGGAATAAGCTACATTGCGATTGTTCTTATTTACCTTAGTGTTACTGCTAGTCGCTCTTCAGGTGGCATTGCCTGCCTCAATGTAGTATTTTTATATATTATATTTGGCCCTATTAATTGAAGTAGTGTACTAAAACTGTTCACGCTTAGCCGATAATATTGAAAAAATTTTTTGGGATCCTCTACCAAACTGCAATGTATTTTGTAAAACTGCCCTCTAATTAACTTTTGACTAACAATAGGATGCACCCAGTACTTTTTTTACGTTGTTTTCTGGCGTTATTACGCAATAGCAGAGCTACTACACAAGTTTTTTCAACAAAATCCATTTCGAAAATACACAACACTATGTGATTTATTACTCGCTGTGCGCGCCCAAATTTTTTGTACTCGAAAATGTTTGCGACTACGACTGAAAGTCGCACGACAATAAATCGCTAGTGCGCGCTTAGCCTTACTATCAAAATGTTCGTGGGTTGAATAGTAAGTTACATGTAATCAGTCCGGCTATTAGTGATTGTGAATATGACTTAATTTCATTAAGAGAAGCGTGGTTGAGTGAGAATGTTTTGAGTGCTGAACTAATTCCTGCCTCTTAAATTGTTCATAGGAAGGACCATTGGTTGATAAGGAATGTGGCGGTGGAGTGCTTCTAGCTGTTAAGGAATGCATTAAATCTGAGGTTATAGATGTTGCTGTATTTGAAGCACAATTTCCATCAATTGATCATTTAAGAGTAAGATGCCATGTGGCATATAAGACTTTTTTCTGGTTTGGTTCCTGACAAAATTGCTGTTGATGAATTTGAATCGTTCTTTGATGCTGTTGAGCAACTGGATTATTTGCACGACTGCGATTCCGTATTTCTCGGAGATTTTAATGTGCCTCAACTTGTAAATGGCAATCTTCTAGACCCTAAGATACGCATTATACATAATTTTTTGGACATTTTTAATTATAAGCAGTCAAATAATGTCTTAAATCAACTTGGTCGGTCGCTAGACATGGTAATTTCAAAATTACCCTGTACTGTTAAGCGTGATGAACTACCTCTAGTGCCAGAAGATAGTCACCACCCGGCACTAGCTATTGATTTGACTGCAATATTCATTAAAGAGCCTAAGTTTACATTCAATCATAGTAAAAAAACTTATAACTACAGAAAGACTGACTTTGTCAACCAGTAGCAAGAGCTAAATCAATTTGACTGGAATGTTTTATTCTGCTCTTCTGATGTTAATCATATTGTTGATGAATTTTATGGCAAAATTTTCCAAATTTTTGACAGGCATATACCTCTGTATAAGAATTACAGTCACCGAGTCACCGATGCCCACCTTAGTTTCACTCAGCTATTGTTGAGCACATTAAACTTAAAGCTAAATTTAGGAGAAAATTCATCAGATCTGCTTCTGTTGATGATCTCCAAGAATTCAAACGTTTACGCCACTTGATAAAAAAATCAGACTAAATCAGCGTACGATCAATATTTTGAAAATATCCAGAATTCTGTAACAATTAACTCCATTGCTTTTTGGTCATATCTTCACTTCAAAAACAACACATCACGAATCCCAGGAATAATGAAATTCCAAAATAATTCTATAGATCAGCCTCAGATTCAGTGAATTTATCAGTAGCGTCTATGTCACTCCAAGCCCCATAATAACGCCTCACTAAATCATAGTAATTTATTTTTCCATTTTCATCCAATTGAAGAAAATGAAGTAAGGAGGGTCATTAAATCATTAAAGGATAAGATGACATCTGGTCTAGATGGCTTCCCATCCTTTATAGTCAACGATTGTGTGGAAGTGTTCGTTAGTGTTCTAACTAAGATTTTTAATATCTATCTGGTAACAAAAAGATTCCCAGATATTTGGAAGATGGCTAAAGTCTGTTCAGTGTTTAAGTGTGGGGATAAGTCAAATATTAGAATTACAGGGCAATCTCTATATTATGCATGTTTTCGAAGGTCTTTTAAATAGTTTTGTACAGTCCCATATACACTGCCGTCCAGCGTCAGCTGTCATTGCACCAGCACGGATTTGTTGCTAATCGCTCAATCACCACAAATCTATTTATAAGAACGCAGTACCTCTCGGAAGCAATTGATAGCAATGAGCGAGTTGACGTTATTTATGCAGACTTTTCGAAGGCGTTCGATAAAATTAACCACGACACTTTATTGAATAAGTTAGGTGCAGTTGGTTTGACAGATGATGCTAGGGAGTTGATGAAACTTTACTTATCCGATCGTAGACAATTTGTTACCTATAATGGCTCAAAATCTGGGACCAACTTAATACGTTCTGGAGATCCTCAGGGATCCAACCTGGGGACATTGCTGTTTTTGATATTTATTAATGACCTCTGTGACTCAGTTGAATGTGAACGCGTATGCTTCGCTGACGACCTAAAAATTTATTCGCGGATAAATGCTCCTGATGATTGTATCAAACTACAATACCAAATAAATTTTGTGCTGTCTTGGTGTGCAGAAAACAAGTTGGAGCTTGATGTGAAAGAAAGATGCCCTGATGTACGTGATTTAGGTATCATCTATGATCAAAAGTTAACTTTTAGTCAGCATATAGGTAAAAAACATCAGAAGCATTGGCGGCTTACAGTTACATAGTAAGGGATTGCAGCAGTTTTCATAAAGTCCATTAAGCTATTATATTATGCTTATGTTAGATCCAAAGGCGAATATTGGAGCCATTAGTATGAATGCTATGAAGTTGGAAAGGGATCAAACCACTTCTAACTTGTATTGTGAGCAGCCTCAACGAGTACAAGCAGCACTGATCCAGAAATAGCCTCCTTTGAAAAAGAAGAAAGCAATATTCTTGCAGGATAACGCCAAGCCTCATACCGCAGAAGTGACCCGAGGAAAAATTTATGAACTCGCCTGGAAACGTTGCCGCATATTCTCCCGACATTTTGCCCAGTGATTATCACCTTTTTTTGTCTCTTGCCAACAGTATGATGCACCGACAGTTCACAACTCGAGATGGTGTAATAAATGCAGTCCGCCAATTTTTTGAGTCCAAATCCAGGGAGTTCTACAATACCCGTATACAAAAATTGGTTCCACGTTGGCAAAAGTCATTGAATGTGATGGTAATTACTTCGACGAATAAATAAAATAAATAAATAGTCTTATTGTTTTTCAATAAAAATTTATATTTTTCTATTAAAAACCCCACGAACTTATTTGGTTACTGATAATAGGATTTTTTAGAAATCAGCTTCAAAAAACATTGTCTGTTCGAAAACTATGAGCGATGGCCTATTTTTATAATAAAAATAATAATATATATAGTTCAAATAAATTTAAAGTCGTTAGAAGGGTTGGTTAAACATATCTGGTATAGTTTATGTAGGAGTGGGGGTAGTTTTTACCCTTCTTGAGCCCTTCCGGGTGTTTTGTTAAAGTCAAATATGAGGACGCTAGCAAAACACGTGTTACGAATTTCATTCAAATCGGACTAGCGGTTTTAAAAATATCTGAAAAAAATATGTTTTACAGAGAATACTTCAATGTCTTCTAATGCACGAAGCATTTTGTGTCGTAAAATACATGGTACTTCTATGATCACGGAATATCGGGACACCCTGGGTGTTCTTTAATGATATGCGAATATTTAAGGGTATGAATCTACACAAAAAATTAATGTTAGTTTGCTTTATAAACTATGGTACAAAAATGCTTCCTTACAAAAAGTTGAAATTTTAGGAGAAAAATGGAAATTAATTAATATTTTCAGAACCGCTGCAGATAATAAACTGATATATAGTACGTAGTGGAAGTTGATGAATTTGCATATTTTTCAATGCAAAAATAATTTTTAGCTTCAACAGTGGCGTGCGTACAGGTATTGACTTTGATATTTTGTAAGAAAAAAATGGTATGCAAATAGTTGTTTGCCAAATAAAAATTGTTTTTGAATTCCCCGTTCAATTAGTAACAAATGATCTCTCTTTGATTGTTTTCCTTCGATGCGCCATTTTTGAGTAAAAAAATAAAAACTGTTCTATTGTCTAACTTGCAAAATTATTATTAATTTAATTGGAAAAATTAAACGCATTAGAGGTAATGAACAACAACTAACAGCATAAACATAACATTAAAACCAACGAAATGATTACAAAAATTGTTGAAAATGGCCCCCCTTTACTTGGTATGCATGCTTCCGCCTTCCTCCTCATGGAATTGCGCACTCGTTGAAATATCCCTGGAGTGTTTTTTATTCTATCACAAGCTGCAACTATTCTTTATCTCAATTCCTCTACGATGTTAATGGTACTTGTGTACACTACTGTCTCAGGATAGCCCCACAAAAAGAAATCTAAACTGTTGAGGTCTGGGGACCTTGGTGGAAATTCTTGGGGCCCACCGCGGCCAATGCAATGATTTGGATAAACAGTTTGTAAATAATTACGAACCGCTACACTGAAATGCGTTGGTGCACCATAATAGATGTACCACATATTGTTTCTTATTACTAACGGAACATCATCAAGCAACAAAGGCAACTGTTGTTGAAGAAAATTGAGGTAAGTCTGTTTGTCAAGTCGTCCTGGCAAGAAAAATGGGCCAACAAAGTGGTTCCCAATAATTCCTGCCCATACGTTAACCGAAAATTGGTGTTGGAAATGGGTTTCGGTTACGGCATAGGGATTTTCTTCTGCCCACATGATTATTGTGGAAATTCTGAAAGGCATTTCGAGAAAAATTAGCTTCGTCCGTGAACAGAATCATTGATTCAAGTTACGGATCTTGTGTAATTTTCTGAAGGTACCACTGAAAAATGGTCACAAGCCTTGGAAAATCAATGGGAAGTAATGCCTGTACTCTTAAAATATGGTACGGATATAACAAAAAATCCACTAAAATTCTCCAAACAATTTGATGGCAAATATTTAAGTGTCTAGCGATCTTCCTCGTACTCGTTTCAGGATGTTCTTCGACTTGCAGCACAGATTGTAAAAATTAAATAATGAAAAAGAGGTCACAGCGGACACATTTGAATAACAGAGACTTGTCGGATGTCAAAAGCCAGTAA